TTTGATGAGCTCTACAACTTTTGTTAGAAGCCAAAGAGTGATTTACTTAATATAAAAAAAAGTTTTAGATACAGGCTCAGTGCATTCGCACTTATAGTAAAATTTATATATAAAAAAAAAAAATTTTTGTCCAGATGACTAGAAAATTGCCTATTAATTATATAAATATTCTTAAATCTAATATTTAAATAATACTATTTATAAACTTCTGTAGCAACACCACTAGTAACTATATATACAGTAGCTTTAAAAAAGCTTGCTCTTATCTTGGTCTTTTTCAAAATAATACAGAATACCTGTTTGCTTAAAGCAACTTTTATATAAACAGAACACCAATTACAATAGCTTTTTGCAACTATATTTTTATTTTGCCAATCTGTAAAATCTGAGTTATTATAAAATAATCATAAAATTGCATTGTGTAAGAATATTTTATATTGAGCTTATATGCAATTACAAGATCTTGAAGATGCAAGTAATATTTCTGCTACAATTGAATATAAAGCTTTTACTCAATTGGAAAATATACTTTTACTAAGTGAAAAATTTTTAAAAAATTTTTCTGATATACCAATTCTCTTATTACTTTAAATATTAGTAATAATGAAAAAGAATTAAATTATTTAATATATAAAGAGAAATCTTACAATATAACAGACTTAGAAGCTAAATTACAATATAATATACCTTTGTTAAATAATGATTAATATGCAGTATTTGATGCTATTATAAGAGCAATTGACAATAAAGAAGAAGAATATTTTTTATTAATGAACTAGGTGATATAGAAAAAACTTTTTTATAACACTTTACTAGCAAGTGTTAAATCACATTGTCATATTGCTTTGGCAGTAGTCTCTTCAAGAATCATAGCACTTTTAATAAAAAGTAAATATATAGTTTATAGTCATTTCAAAATTTCACTTAAACTTAATAAATCTTTTATATATAATATTTTACAAAATAGCAAAGAAGCTTATTTAATTAGTATTGCAAAACTTATTATTTGGAATAAAGCCCCAATGACTAATAAATTTGTATTTAAAGCTCTTAATCAAATATTTCATAATATTATGAAGATAAATAAACTATTTGGTGAAAAAGTTATTGTTTTTGGTAGTAATTTTTGTAAAGTACTATCTGTTGTATTTCATAGCTCCCATGCAAATATTGTTTCAGCTAGCTTACTCTGCTCTTCATTATAAAGTAATATAAAAGTTATAAAATTAATAATTAATATGAGACTTTAGCAAACTAATAATATTAATGAGAATCAAAAACAAAAAGAATTTGCTAAGTTTCTTTTACAAATAGGAGATAGAACATACCCAATTGTTGCAGATACAGAAAATAGAATAACAATCCCTTCTGATATAGTTGTAGCTAGTGGAATATTATCAGATCTTATTAATAATATGGATTAATTGATTTGTAACCATAGGTTACTGTAACCGTAATTAAAATCAGGTGTAACATAATTATCAAAACAATTATTTTTTATAAAAATAAAACTTTGCAATTAAGGTTAGG